GGACCACTTCCCTCAAGACAAAACAGCATTCTGTCCTGAGTCATTTGGTATCCTTAGCTCCTGAGTTTCAGAACTGCTTTTACTTTTTTCTTTTCTTCCCTCTTCCTCTTCCTCCTCTCTGTCGCTCTCTCTCTCTCTTTTTTTCTTTTTCTGATTGCCGCTGCTTAGCAAGTCCACTGATAGCTTGCTGGGAGTTGTTTTTTTATTTTTGTCTAAAGGGAATCTTCTGACTTAAGGTGTTCCGTAAGCCCAGGAGTCCTTACAGTGAAAATAAATGTATTTCAAAGTAAACTCAAAAAAGATGAATGAAGAATCACGGTGAGGAGCTTGGTTAGAAGTGACAAGATCCACTCTGGTTTCAGGTTTAGAGATTAGTGTCACAGGAATCTCCCAGGAGCCCCTCTTCTGGCTTGCCCTCTTTCAGCTAAATGGTAAAGGATAACTGCAGACTTTTATTCTAAAGGAATAAGATTAAAAAGGCCACCCAGACAAAACTGAGGTTTGCTTCCTCCCTTTCCTCCATATGAATAAGCTGGAACTAGGGTGGATGTTGAGTAAGTGGGTTTATTTGCCTTATTTTTTTTTTTTTTTTTTTTTTTGAGACGGAGTCTCGCTCTGTCGCCCAGGCTGGAGTGCAGTGGCGCGATCTCGGCTCACTGCAAGCTCCGCCTCCCGGGTTCACGCCATTCTCCTGCCTCAGCCTCCCGAGTAGCTGGGACTACAGGCGCCCACAACCGCGCCCGGCTAATTTTTTGTATTTTTAGTAGAGACGGGGTTTCACTGTGGTCTCGATCTCCTGACCTTGTGATCCGCCCGCCTCGGCCTCCCAAAGTGCTGGGATTACAGGCGTGAGCCACCGCACCTGGCTATTTGCCTTATTTTTAAAATCAAGTCAACTGGGGAAAAAAGTAGAGACCCACCTAATGAGAAGAAGCAAAGGCTATTTATTCTGAGCTTGCTATAGCAAGGGGGTCAGCTGTAGTCACCTGCATTTTGGCAGAGACTCAAAGGTAGGCAGAAGAGTGGGAAACATTTATAGTAGCATACAAACACAAACTTAGGCACATTCAAATTTTAATGAGTTTATTTGAGCATTCAATGATTCATGAATTGGGCAGCACCAGACTGCAAGTGGTTCAGTGCTCCACCAAAGGGGGCAAGAGAGGAAACTTTTATGAGATATTTGTGAAAGTAAGACAAAGAAAATATATTTTATTGGTTAAAGTGGAAAGTCCCTAGCTCAAGGTTAGGTTGGTGTTTTCTGATTCGTTAAGCTTAAGTTTTGTTTTACTGTTTGCACTGAGCTGGGTTTCAGTTTGTTATGTAGGAATCCAAGGCGCCAGAGCCATCTTCGACTAATGGCTGTTCAATTAATTTTTTTCATCAGTGAAAAAAGGGAAAGGCTTTAGGTGTACCTTGATTGGAGGCTGTTGGCATGGGGAAGCTGTAGGCAGGGTAACTAGAAATGGGGCAGCCTATTTGATTAACTGGGGGCACATATTTGGCTTTCTTGGTTGATCCTAAGTTGAAACTGGGGACAAAAATTAGGGGAGTTTTTCAGTTACTAATCAAGTCCTGGGTATTTTTTAATATCTCTTTTTAAAAATTTTTAATTTTTTTTATGTTTTAAACTTTTATTTTAGGTTCAGGGATACCTGTGCAGGTTTGTTATATAGGTAACTTCATAGGTTTGTTGTAGAGATTATTTCATCACCCTGGTTCTAAGCCTAGTACCCAACAATTATTTTTTCTGCTCTTCTACCTTCTCCCACCCTCCACCCTCAAGTAAGCCCCTGTGTCTATTGTTTCCCTCTTTGTCTCCATGTTTTATCATTATCTAGCTCCCACTTATAAGGGAGGACATGCAATATTTGTTTTTTTGTTACTGCATTAGTTTACTAAGGATAATGGCCTCCAGCTCCATCTATGTTCCTGCAAAGGACATGATCTTGTTCTTTTTCATGGTCGCATAGTAGTCCATGGTGTATATGTACCACTTTTTTAAAAATCCGGTCTGCCATTGATGGGTACTTATGTTGATTCCATGTCTTTGCTATTGTGAACATACACATGTATGTGTCATTATGATAGAACAATTTATATTTCTTTGGGTATATACCCAGTATTGGGATTGTTAGGTTGAATGATAGTTCTGTTTTTAGCTCTTTGTGGAATTGCCATACAGCTTTTCACAAATTAGTTATACATGAATTGAACTAATTTTATTTAGTAATTGGTTCAATTAGTATACTAGTTGAACTAATTTACCCTCCCACCAACAGCATATCTAAGTGTTCTCTTTTCTCTGCAACCTCACCAGCATCTGTTATTTTTTGACGTTTTCATAATAGCCATTCTGACTGGTGTGAGATGGTATCTCATTTTGGTTTTGATTTGCATTTCTCTAATGATCAGTGATATTGAACTTTTTTTCACATGCTTCTTGGCCACATGTATGTCTTCTTTTGAAAAGTGTTCATGTCCTTTGTCTACTTTTTAATGGGCTGTTTTTTTCTTGTAAATTTGTTTAAGTTCCTTATAGATGCTGGATATTAGACCTTTGTCAGATGAATAGTTTGTAAATACTTTTCCCATAATTTATTTTGCTGTGCAGAGAAGCTCTTCAGTTTAATTGGATCCCATTTGTCAATTTTTGCTTTTGTTGTGGTTGCTTTTGGCCATTTCGTCATGGAATCTTTGCCCATTCCTATGTCCAGAATGGTATTGGCTAGTTTGCCTTCCAGGGTTTTTATAGTTTTGGGTTTTACATTTAAATCTTTAATCTGCCTGAGTTGATTTTTGAATATGGTGTAAGGAAGGGATCCAGTTTCAATCTTCTGCATATGGCTAGCCAGTTATCCCAGCACCATTTATTGAATAGGAAGTCTTTTTCCCACTGCTTGTTTTGTCGGTTTTGTCAGGGAATGGATGGTTGTAGATGTGTAGCTTTATTTCTGGGTTCTCTGTTCTATTCCATTCATCTATGTGTCTGTTTTTGTACCAGTACCATGCTGTTTTGGTTACTGTAGTCCTGTAGTATAGTTTGAAGTTGAGTAATGTCATATCCTCCAGCTTGGTTCTTTTTGCTTAGGATTGCCTTAGCTATTTGGGCTCTTTTTTGATTCCATATCAATTTTTAAGTAATCTTTTCTAGTTCTGTGAAGAACGTCATTTGTAGTTTGATAGGAATCACATTGAATCTGTAAATTGCTTTGGACAATATGGCCATTTTAATGATATTGATTCTTCCTATCTATGAGCATGGTATGTTTTTCTGTGTCTTGTAATTTTCATTGTAGAGATCTTTCACCTCCCTGGTAAGCTGTATTCCTAGGTATTTTATCCTTTTGTGGCAATTGTGAATGGGATTGCATTCTTGATTTGGCTCTCGGCCTCGCTGTTCTTGGTTTATAGGAATGCTAGTGATTTGTATACACTGATTTTGTATTCTGAAACTTTGCTGAAGTTGTTTATCAGCTGAAGGAGCTTTTGGGCTGAGACTGTAGGATTTTCTTGATATAGAATCATGTCATCCACAAACATGGGTAGTTTGACTTCTCTTCCTATTTAGATGCCCTTTATTTATGTCTCTTGCCTGACTGCTTTGAGTCCTGGCCATTTTGGGTTGATTGCTAAAGGGGCTATTGTTTGGCTTTCTGGCTTAAGATAGCAATCTGACTTCCTGTTAGTCTGACTTACAGCAGGCTGGCTTACTATTTATTGATTACCAGTTGGTTTCCTGAGCAGGTTGCTGCAGGTTGCAGGTCAGGATTCTATTTTCATATATGCTGTGGCCATAGTCCACTTGTATATTCAGTTTCTTTTAACAAAATGCACATTTTCTAGAGAAACTGCTCTTAGCTACTATAGCCGAGTATGATGGGCATAAGAAAACTTGGGCTGCATCTTGCTCCAGCTACTCAGATGACAGATGTCTGTAAAGATCCTTTGTAAATTCTAATATGCTCTACAATTTTACAGTATTATCACTATTGGGAAAGCAGCACAATGTTTGTTTTCCTCCCAGATTTACCACCAAATCACAGTGGCTCTACTAGCTGTGTGCATGGGGGCAAGCTACTTAAACTTCTGAGCCTCAATTTTCTTCATTCGTAAGATCAGATTAATAATACCTGTGTTGAAGTTGTTTTTGTTTTTTGATTTTTACTTTTTCTTATGGAAAACTTCAAACATACAAAAGTGGAGTGACTATGTCTTAGTCTGTTTGTGTTGCTATAAGAGAACACCTGAGGGCAGGTTATTTATGAAGGAAAGAGGTTTATTTGGCTCACAGTTCTACAGGCTGTATAAGAAGCATGGTGCTGGGACCTGTTTGGCTTCTGGTGTGGGCCTCATGCTGCTTCCACCCATGGTGGAAGGCAAAGAGGAGCCAGCATGCAGAGATCACATGGTGAAAGCAAGGGAAGCAGGGTGTGGGGAGGTGCCAGACACTTTGAAACAATCAGCTCTCATGGGAACTAATTGAGAATTCACTCATTACCATGATGACAATGACAGCACCAAGACATTCATGAGGGATCCGCCCCCATGACCTAAATATTTCCCACTAGACCCCACCTCCAACATAGGGGATCAAATTTCGGTGTGAGGTTTGGAGGGTCAAATATACAAACTATAGCAGACTAGAAGAAGGACCCCTTATTTATCTATTATTCTGTTTAGTAATTATCAAATTATGGCCAATCTTGTTTCATTTGTGCCTGTATCCGCTTACCCTGCCTGACTATCTTGAAATTTTAGATATTAAGTTATTTCATCTATAAACTTTTCAGTTTGGATTTCTAAAAGATGTCTTAAAAAGTATTTGGTTTATTCTTATTGCCTATTTACCTTCCTATTTACACATCTAAATAGAATGAAAGTTAATTCTATGGAATTAATGCACCAAGTAATATTCAGAATACTAGTAGATACATCATTCATTCTCTGTAACTCTAGCACTTTCATTTACTTTAAAGATACTTTTTTTTTTTTTTGTAACCAGAAACATGTATACCTTATTGAATGCCATTGTAGAAAAGTGTGTGAGGATAAAGGGCTGATACAGGACTCGGCTCCCGGGGCAGGACCAGGAATGGAAGGTGGAGCACGTGGGATACAGGTTATAGGCAGAGCTCCTGGCCTGAATGATGTCTCCTGATCTATCGATGGGCTTGGTAGATCAATACTGGGATGACAGTGAGCAGAATGGTCATGAGGATGCCCAAAATCAGGGCCCAGATGTTCAGGCACTTAGCGGTGGAGGCATAGGCCTGGGCCCCAGTCAGGTCGCCAACCATCTTCCTGTCCCTGGACTTCACGGAGTAGGTGAATGCTATGAAGCCCAGGCAGCAGGGGTTCATGAAGAGGGTGTTGAACAGGGACCAGACAACATGGTCAGGCACGGAGGTCTCGCTGCGGATGTGGATCACGGTGGACGTCGGGGGAGCAGGGTTGTGGGGCGCCCCCAGCACAGCCACCTTGTGCTCTTCCTTGAGCATCTCATAGCTGGGGGGCTGGCCGCTGTTGACAGGAGAGAAGACGGTTTGGACCGTGCGGTTCATGGTGTCCTGCGAAGGCCAGCAGTGGTCAGGTTAGTGGGATGGTTCTCAGTGGGCCCTCCCTTTCCCTAGTAGTTTCGATTTCTCCTTTAAAGATACTTTTTCATGTCTTGGGTATTTTGCCGATATCTGTGCACAATCCATTTCTCTTTTTGCTGCTTTCTTTGGTTTCATGTTGCCATCTCTGAGCAATGCTGAGTGTGTTTGTTTTGCATGAAGTATTGTCAGAGATAAGGACTGCCTCTTAAAAATATAACCACAATATTTGTATTAATTATTCATTGCTGTGCAACAAATTATACCCAAAACTTAGAGGCTTCAAACAGCAATCCTTTATCATCTCTTATGGTTTCTATGGGTCAGGAATTCAGGGGGCATGATTGGGTGGTTAATGCATGGTGTCTCATGAGTGTGCTAGGTCTGCAGTTTTCTGAAGGTTTGACAGTGGCTGGAGGATCCACTTCTGAGATAACTCTCACATGTCTGGTGAATTGGTTTTTCCATACGGGCCCCTCTATGGCCTGCTTAAGAGTTCTCACAGCATGGTGACTGACTTTCCCAAGAGGGAGCAGCATGAGAGACTAGGGTGGAAGTTGCATGCCTTTTATGACCTAGCCTCTGAAATCACGTGCCATCACTTCTGCTATATTTTATTGATCACACAGGCCAGTCCTGATTCAGTGTGGGAAGGGACTACATAAGGGCATGAATTCCAGGAGCCATCCTGAAGGTTGGCTATGGCAATGCCATTATCACATCTCAAAAAATAAATTGAAGAATTATATCCTAATAGTATCGATGTTCATATATTCTAAATTGTTTGCTTCAATCAGGATCCAAGTTAAGTTCCACATATTATAATTTGTCAATATGTCTCTTAAGTCCCTTTTGATCCATAGATTCTCCTTTCCTTCCTTCCTTTTATATTTATGTAATTTATTTGTGAAACTCATGGAGGTTTTTGATGAGGAGCAACTGAGGTGATGTAGATAAAAACCTACCATGATGCAGGCTTGCTGCTGCCCCACATGCTGACTTCACATTAATTAGAGACAGGCTCCCCTTCCTTCAGAGAGGACATTATTGCATAACCTGAACAATCTATATATGACCCTTGATGGGACGTGCTGGCTCTGGGATGTGATAAGTAGCACCCAGCTTAACTTCACCGGAGAGGTGGTTCAATAATTCAAACTTTTAAAGCCAGTGGTCAGAGCACAAGAGTCCCATTAGAATCAGGAGAAGCTGCTGCTGCTGCAAATACGAATCTTCTTGCTTTGTCCCAGCTCTTCTCAGGAAAGCTTTCAGGAAGTCTGAAGACGGCAGCCCAAACTGCGGCCATCCAAACACCCACACTTCCACCTGCTCACATGTTCCCCGTCCCAGGCATGCAGGCTACTGACAGCTGGCATGCTCCACCTCTGGCTGTACTCCCCAGATGAGCCTGCAGTGTCCACTTGGGAGCTGGGTTAGTTAGGAATCTGATTACTAGGGTTTCTTTCAGCTATGTAAGAAATTGGGCTTCCAAGAGTGGTAGACAGACAAAAGTGGCCTCTGATGATGCCAGGACCATCGGCAGCAGGACAGGGCACAGTAGAGCACATACAAATGGGTACCAGTGATGGTTGTCTGTGTGTGCTTTTCTGAGTGTGGGCCAGAGCCTATTTATGCAGGAGGGCGATCTCTATTGCCCAGAATTTTCTTGGTTGCCCCGTCAGTAAGTTTATGTCTATGAAGAGCATGGGGTGTGGTGCGTTGTGCGGTGTACTTATACATGGCAGCACTGCTTGGACTAACTGGTTGTTTTCCTTTTTCATTGGTCTCTTCAAACCAGGATAAAGCCATATTAAACTCAAGCATATGTGTTTCCCTTAAACAGATTCAGAATTCCTGGGCTCCCTGGGTGCATTCTGTCATTCCAGTTGAAAGTTTGCTTCCTTCCAGTCATGTGGCTCTTCATTCTACTCTCCTTGGCTCTCTTTTCAGGTAGGATGGGAGAAGGAACAGCTCCAGCCCTTTAAGCTGTGGCCTTTCCAGAGACTTTGCACTGAAGTCCTCTCCTACTTGGAGTCCCTGCTTATTAACTCGAACCGGACCGTCTAAGGAGTGGGATGGGAAAATAAAAGGCGATGAAAATAGGTCTTGTCCATATTAGTTCTTGTTCTTAGCTCAGATAAGAGAGTTTGTGAGGAAATTGAAAAGCTTGACTAAAATGATGACTCTGCACTCACTTTGGCAGCACATATACTAAAATTAGAATGATACAGAGTAGATTAGCATGGCCCTTGTGCAAGGCTGACATGCAAATTCATTATGCATTCCATATTTTTCCCCAACATCTCCACTAAAATAAAATAAAATAAAGAGCTCTGCATTTTCTCTTTTAGTTCACCCAGGTTCCCCTTCCCCCTTGTCCCCTCAAAAATGTATGTGCACATATATGAGGACATGACTTTCCCCTTTCCACTCGTGCTTGTTCCCAAAGATGAGACGTGGAACACTGGCCTTTTCCTAGCTCTGTCTGACCTTCAGTTGCGTGGCATTTAGAGTTGCTGAACCTTTCTCTGGGTCAGCATTCATACTTATAAACTGAAGATCATGCTATCTTCCTTGTGGGGTTGTTATGAAAACAAAATGTTATAAAGAAGCTGAGCCTGCATTTTAATAGTCTTTGCTATACATCTGGAAGGCTGAGAGAAGGATGGGCTCTGCTGTCCCATCTTCTCTTCTTGGTCAGACACTTTCCCTCCCATGGTCAAGCTGGACGTGGTGTGCACGACTTCCTCATTGTGCAATATCCTGAGATGATAGGGGTGCCTATGTTGGTCTTGTATGGAGGGAACATGAAGTTCTTATCCCCTAAAGACAGAACATGACTTCCTCTGTTTTTAGCCCTGTGCAGCCAGCAGAAGCCTCCAAACCTCACTTTCTTTCTGAGGGTGCTAAGGTGGGTTGGGAGCTAGGGACAGAGGGCCTTCTAACGGTAAGCCTCAGGCTCTTCAAGGACCTCTGTCACGCAGTGGTAGGAGGCCTCCATATTTTACCCACTCTTAAGCCAGGGAAAAAGACTTCTCCAGGGTTGCTTTATCAGTTTACTAGGGCTGTGATAACAACAACAGCAACAAAACCACAGCCTGGGCGGCTGAAACAATGGACATTTATTTCCTTCTGTTATGAAGGTGGTAAGTTCAAGATCAAGGCGTCTGGCAAGTTTGGTTTCATTCTGAGGCCATCTCTGGGTTTGCAGATGACTGCCTTCTGGCTGTGTCCTCATGGGCCATTCCTCTGTTTGTATTGTCAGTGTCTTCATCTCTCCTTTTTATAAGGACATCAGCTGAATTGAATTAAGGACTACCCCAATGACCCTATGTTCACTTAATTATCTCTTTGAAGGCCTTATATCCAAATACAGTCACATTCTGGAGTCACTGGAAGTTAGGATGGAAACATATGAGTTTTGAAGGGGACATAGTTCAGCCCATAACAGTTGCCAATCAAAAAGAGGCAAAAAATTAGCCTCCAATTCTTTAATTAATTATCCTTCAGGAGGTCAGGAGCTGCAATGTTTTGAGAGAACAGTGGTGCTTGTGTGTGTGCAAGTGTGCGTGTGTGTGTGTTTTCACAGATGCCATGGTCATGGATGAAAAGGTCAAGGAAAGCTTTGTGCTGGACACGGCTTCTGCCATCTGCAACTACAATGCTCGCTACAAGGATCACCCCAAATACTGGTGCCGAGGCTATTTCCGTGACTACTGCAACATCATCGCCTTCTCCCCCAACAGCACCAATCATGTGGCCCTGAGGGACACAGGGAACCAGCTCATTGTTACTATGTCCTGCCTGACCAAAGAGGACACGGGCTGGTACTGGTGTGGCATCCAGCGGGACTTTGCCAGGGATGACATGGATTTTACAGAGCTGATTGTAACTGACAACAAAGGAACCCTGGCCAATGACTTTTGGTCTGGAAAAGGTAAGGAGCCTGCCTGGGGTCTGGCTGGATGTGACCCACGGCCATGGGTGTTTGCTGCTAAGAGAGCACCCTCTGAAGCCAGTGAGCCCCAACTCAGACTCCCACTGGGTACTTTGGGCCTGCCTGGCCTCTCTCTTCCACCAGCAAACATAGGGTGGTCATTAACAGTGCTGGGGAATAGTGGAAGTTGGGGACGAGGAGGGTGTCTGTGCCCTGGGGCACTTTTAGAACTTCTCTTCCCTTGCAGCAATCTGGTTTAAGGACCTTAGAAGAGGGCTGACAGGGTCTAATAGATGTGAGATCTTTGTGTTGAAAGGCTTTGAAGTTGTTATTAAATGTCTGTGTGAGAATCGCTTGAACCAGGTGGCAGAGGTTGCAGTGAGACGAGATTGTGCCACTGCACTCCAGCCTGGGCGATAGAGTGAGAGTCAGTCTCAAAAAAAAAAAAAAAAAAAAGAAGATGTCTGTGTGCCTTGTGGGTCTAGAATCTTGAAGATTAGTTTCTTGAGAGGTGTCTGAGGCTGCAAAAAATGACCCAGATGCCTGCTAACTGTCAGCTTAAATAATTTAATAATATATGGAGGTAGCCAGGTGCCATGGCTCACTCCTGTAATCCCAGCGCTTTGGGAGGCTGAGGCTGGTGGATTGCTAGAGCCCAGGAGTTTAAGACCACCCTGGGCAACATGGAGAAAGCCAGTCTCTACAAAAAATACAAAAATTAGCTGGATGTGGTGGTGCCTGCCTGTAGTCCCAGCTACTCGGGAGGCTGAGATGGGAGGGTCATCTGAGTCCAGGGAGGTTGAGGCTGCAGTGAGCCATGATTGCACCACTGCACTTCAGCCAGGACGACAGAATGAGACCCTGTCTCAAAAAATAATAATAATTTACAGATATAAATATCCAACTAGTGGTCCAGCTAGTAAGCACCCTCTTTTGCTTTTAAGGAATGTGCAGTTTATATTTGGAGACCGCTGAGAAGGTATGGGTGGAACTGGAACCCACAGCAGAAAAGTCTGAGTTAACCAACTGTGACTCTTGGCTGGAGCTAAGACTTAGGATTTCCAGACATTCACTCAGGTTCCTTCTGTTGAATGATGAAAACCTCCTTTTGCACTAGAAAACCTCTGTCTCCCAGACAGAGGACTTACGGAAGGCACTAGCCTTTCTTTCTTCTTCTTTTCTTTTTTTTTTCCTTTCCCCTGTGCCTTCTCCTTGTTTCCATTTCTAGAAAGGATGTCCTTTTCTATTACAGTCCAGAGCACAATGCTGGTAGGAAAACAAACCAGAAGGGCTTAAGGGGTACCCTGGGAAACCTAGCCCCATGCTAGAAAGAGAGTTTTGCTAACACTTGACCAACTAGTGATTGATTCAGCAAGCATCTTATGGAATGTAATATTGTTCACACCCACAGTGTTTCTACTTTGTGTGGTTCTCCTTTTACTTAACTGTGCATCTTGACCTGAATCTTAGGCTCAGACAAGAGAATGTTCCCACCTGAACGTACTCCTTAGTTTAAATGAAACACAGACTTCTCCCACATCTTATCAGAGGGGGCATCGTAGGTGGTCGTGGTGCCACTGCTCCCGTTGGGTTTTGGTGGCTGTCATAAGAAAAACATGGCAATTACATCACCAAATGAGCAATTCTTTAAGGATAGGATTGGCCCTCTGGTGCCTCTGGCATCCCCTTCTATGGGGAAGAGACCTCTGTGGGACTCTAACCATGGGCCACTTCTAGTCCATTTGGGGCCTTTGTTCAAATCTGGAAAAGGGGCCCCTTCCTTCAGGTGCATGGAGCCCAGTGGCAGGGTGCATGGCCTAGCAAGCAGAGTGTGGGCTAAATGTTGGTCCCTGATTGTCCCCTCAGCTTTGTTCCCTGTGCCGGGCACATTTATACAACTGTACTTGGTGCCTCTGCTTTACTCTGAAGTCAACCAGGGAACTCACTCTTTGGAGACTGAGAGAATGACAGGCAGAGCTACAGCTGGGAGGCAGAGGCAGGACCTGGCTATGGGCCTCACCTGACTTAGCAAATCCTTTCTGATTTAGACCTATCAGGCAACAAAACCAGAAGCTGCAAGGCTCCCAAAGTTGTTGGTGAGACTGACCACTCCAGGTGAGTCATAGTCTTGGCAGATGAATGGGCTTGGGGCGGTGGGGTGGAGGTAGGGGCTGGCGTGACAACAGTATGATATGACAGTTGATTTGTACCAGTAACTTTTCTGCTGCACGTTATTTCTCCACCTTAACTGTGTATCCTTAATGTGAGTATTTGGTTTCTTTCCAAAAAAAATATAGTTTAGGACTCTTGGTTGCAAGCAGCAAAAATGTCCTCTGGCTGGTTTAATTAAAAGGGGACATTTATCATAAGGAGAGAGAGGTGCAGGAGCAGGGTTGTGGTCACGCTTGGAAATTGTCAGATGCATCATCACGAATTTACCTCAGTCTCTAATCTGCCTCGAATCTGTGTGTTTCCTTCCTTCTGTCTCTGTATTGCCCTTGTATATTTCTCTTTTTTCCCCTAACAGTCATCCATTTGTGGTTCCTGAGTTTATTTCTCCCCCATTCAAGAAACTGGCAAGTCTGAGACTGGATTCTCCTATTCCCAATCCACAGTTAATTTCTGAGGAAGGGGTTCATTGGCCCAGCTTAGTCAGATGCTCAGCAGGTCCCATTGAGTGTGGTCCAAAGGACAGGGTCACTCTAAAGGAATACAGTTGCCAGAAGCTACTGTAACTGGGTTGGGTGGGGGCAGGGGTGCAAATCCCAGAAAAAGGGATCTAGAGCTAAGAACCAATAGGCAGTTTCTTCCAGGGAACATGAAATCTGCTGTGGTTCCTTCTAGGACGTCCATTCTCATCATTTGCATACTGATCACGGGTTTGGGAATCATCTCTATAATCAGTCATTTGACCAAAAGGAGGAGAAGTCAAAGGAATAGAAGGGGTAAGTAGTTGTTGGGGGAGGGGGTGTGCAAGAATTAGAGAAAATGAAAGAGGTCAAGGAGCAGCTTTCAAATGAGTGAATGAGAGCTCTTCATATTGTCTGGTCACCTAGATACCAATGTAGCCAGCCATGGGCTGGGGTAGATATCTGCTGGATGGTGACGAGGCATCATGAGAAGTGACAGAGGGAGCATTGCAGCTTTCTTAAGTGGATACACGTGTAGATCAGGAAGGAAGGAGATCCTGAGACAACTACCTCACAGGTTCCCATCTGCAGAGCCACCTACCTCCCCAGCACACACACTTTGGGCTCCTGGCACAGGAATGAGCTTCTGGGACCCATGGGTAAGCAGGTATAGAAGAGTCTCCTTTTTCATATACACAGGGTGTTGCCCTGTTGCCCAGGCTGGAGTGCAGAAGTGTGATCATAGCTCACTGCAGCCTCATGCTCCTGGCCTCAAGTCATCCTTTCACCTCAGCCTCTCAAATAGCTGGGCCCACAGGTGCCTGCCACCATGTCTGGCCAATTTTAACTTTTTTTTTTTTTTTTTTGAGACATTGTCAAGCTCTGTTGCCCAGGCTGGAGTACAGCCTGATCTCAGCTTGATCTCAGCTCACTACGACCTTCACCTCCCAGGTTCAAGTGATTCTCCTGCCTCAAGCCTGATCTTTAGCTTGCCCCATTCCTAAATAGAGAAGGGACTGTGTGCCCACCTTTCCCTGTGGGGCAGCACCAGAGACATGACTGGTCAGTAAGACAAGGCTGGTCTTACCGTTTAGAGAATCCTCCAGACCAACATGTGGCAAATATGCCAACCTCTGAAGTGTACACAGAGCAGAAAGAACATTGCACAGTTGCCACTGTTTGGCTAATAGTAGTTTTACATTTTTCTTTTTATTCTCAGAAACCACAGGAACACCTTAGGCAATGAAGAGTCTGTAGGCATAATTATAAAACAGACTGCAACCACCCGTGGGTATGGAAATGTAGAAGAAAAACATTTCAGAAAAAAAGAGAAAAACACTCCTAGTAACCCTTGCTAGTGACACACCAGGATCCATAGCCAGAAGAATCTGAAATGCAAAGCAAATGCTGCAAGGCCTCATACTTCCCCTGTGATATTTTGTTCCTGTGGTCAGAATGGGAGCCCTAAAGAAAGGAAAGTAGCGGCTCCCATAGCATTCTTGACCTTTTGTCCTCTAGCAGCCTTGGGAACTGCGAAGGTGGGGCATGTGGACAAGACAATGCCTTTCTCAGGTCTGCCCAAGACCATTCCCTTTGGGACACAGTTGTAGTCTAGGTTTTTGCTAAAACCATTATCACTTTTTTAAGGTGTGACCTTGGGCAACTTTATACTTTTCTGGGTCTGTTTTCTTTTCTAGAAATTGAGGGTCTCATTCTCATACCCCCCAATATTTTTATTTATTAGTTCAACAAAAAATGACCATGCTAGCTAGATGCTGGGGATACAAAGATGGGCAGAACAAATACTATTTGTGTCCATGGAACTTGTAGAGGGGGAGGAAGACAAACTATCACACATCAACACCCAAATGTAACATTGCCACCTGGAGTCAGTGCTCTAAAGGAAAGGCACATGATACTATGAAAGATGAGGCCGTAGAACTCAACGCTATTCCTTTTTAGCAAGAAGTTGTACAGCCTGTTGTAGCCATGGCCTGCTTCCTCAAACTCAGGCAGTTGAAATGTGGCAGCCTGAACCAAGGCTCCTAGCTTTGACATTCTTGGGTTCTGAAGAAGTTCAGTTGTGTTCACATCACCAAAACTTGGTGAGAGGTGATTGCAATCTCTGTGTACCAAGCCTTCCTATTGACTTTCCTAGTGATGAGCTTTGCAGTAATGATATCTGATCTCGGCCCTGAAAATAAACTTGTGTCTAGTCCCCATAAAAGCCCCATGATAGAGTCTGGAACTTTTGCTGCAGAAACACTCTTCAGGGGTAGGCAATAGATCTCAACTCCATTTTCCCTTTCTATTCCCCAACAAAGTAGGCAACTCTTTGAAGCCCTTCTCACGTGTCCTGACTCCAAAGGAAATGGCTCCTACTGAACAGATGTGACTGAAGATTTCTTTTATTTAGTTCATAAATAAAGTGATGCTACAACAGAATAATCACCATGACAAATGGCCCACACCTCAGAGACTGATTCCGATCTCCCAGGAATTCTGAAGGACCCTCTATCCTTGCCAACAATCATTTGCAGCCAGGTAACAACGGCGGTAGTCGGAGCTATGATGGACCAAACCCGAGCAAGGCTGCACTCAAATAACATCTCAAGATCTTAGTTCTCATGCATTCCATCAGTCAGAGGTGAAGAAGAGTTGGAGAATCTGGATCGGGGGCCAGGAAATCACTTGTATTTTTTTAGCCAATAAATTCCTAGCCAGTGTTGAATGAACTGCAAGGTATGAGTTACTTCTTCTAGGGTATCACTGTAAAAGTATTTCTGGAAACGTTTCTTTCAAAGAATAATATTCTAACTCATTTCTGAATTGGTATCAAATGCTGCCCAACCCAAAGAAAGGGAGATAGACTAAATCAGTGGTTCTCAGCTTCTCTTGGTGAAAAGGCCATTCTTCTCATCCTTTATGGGAAACTGCCACCTGACTAAAGGGATGCTGCTTTTGATCAATGAGAAACCAAGGTGTGATAGCTTAAGTGAAATAGTCATTCAAATCGGGAAAAACAAATCAAGAACGAGACATCAGCAGCCATGGGTGCGAATGAGGTTATATTGCCATTCATGCCAGAATCACCAACACTCTTAGCTCCCACCCGCATATACATAACCTCTCTCCCCATATAGGGCCTCTCCTGCTATTTCTGGGAGTTTCCAGGGCCTCCCCATCACTGTCTGTGCTGCCGTCATCACAAGCCTGCTTTTCACCGTGCCGTGATCTCTTCTAATGGGCATGCTGGCCAGCCTCAGTCCTCAGGGTACTCAAGTGGCCTTCTGGTCTGAGCAGAGTTGGAACAGAGAGGTTGTTTGTTGATATGATTCTGCACATGCCCTGCGTGTTTAGATCCAGACTCCCACAAAATCTTTCATGAACACACTTCCTTCAGCTTCCACCCTAACTCCTTTCCCCAAAGGTAGGGAATTCACAGCTACTCAACATCCTGATGGGAAGAGATGAGGGTGTGGATACCCCACCTCTGTGTTTCTGAACAACCCACGTTCCTGCCAGAGGCTCAGATCAAACAACATCAAAAGTGTTCTCTTGGCCGGGCGCGGTGGCTCAAGCCTGTAATCCCAGCACTTTGGGAGGCCGAGACGGGCGGATCACAAGGTCAGGAGATCGAGACCATCCTGGCTAACACGGTGAAACCCTGTCTCTACTAAAAAATACAAAAACCTAGCCGGGCGAGGTGGCGGGCGTCTGTAGTGCCAGCTACTCGGGAGGCTGAGGCAGGAGAATGGCGTGAACCCGGGAGGCGGAGCTTGCAGTGAGCTGAGATCCGGCCACTGCACTCCAGTCTGGGCGACAAAGCAAGACTCTGTCTCAACAACAACAACAAAAAAGAGTGCTCTCTTTTCCCTTAGCCACAAAACAGCCCCAATTCTTCCCCTATGGCCCTGTATTGATTTTAAACAAACGGGGTCATTAACCCATCAGTTCTGCAAATAGCAATCCAGTTTGGGTTTGGTTAGGACATTCCATTCTACAAGGCAAGATAGCAGACATAGATCTTCCACAGCAGATGAAGACATCTATAGATGTCTTGGAAGATTTACACTCACGATGTCTGGAAAACTATTTTCCTATAGATTTGTTCTGATTCCATGATCCAGGATTCAAGAGCCTGCTCTTACCTAGCAAAGATCTTTGAATCTGGGGTCAATCATTTAATTACTCATTTTATCCTCCATCAAGGCTGGCTGCATAGTGTGAAGACAAAAAAACAAGACTCTGTTTAGGGCTATACCGTTTAAAAAAAAATGGGCAGCTTCAAGAAAACAGGAAAGGGCAATTAATTTGATATTTCTTATACAAGTAGATGCCATGTGATAGTGCTTACTCTACTCTTGCCGTTATGTTTAAAAGGTGCTGGCCCTGAACTGGAAAGCTGATATGGCCTCTAGCTTCAGGGATGGCAGGATTGTTTCATGTCAGCCCCGAGTTTGGAAACAGTTGAAAGCTCAAGAGGCCTCCCTGTGTGCACTTCCTAAGATCAGCGAACGGGAGAAGACCGTTCCTGGGTCTCTGCTGCCCTCGTGGGGCTGGCTGCCCTAGTGGTGCTGTGGCCGCCTCACTGAACTATCGCCCTTAAACCCGTCTGTCTTCTAGACCTGTTCATTCCCACAGACAGACTACTTCTTTTTTAAATTAAACTCTCTTCCACTGGCTTCTCCCTCAAAATCCAGCTTCCAGCAGCAGCCGCTCTCTCTCAGAAAGAACATGCTTTCTGGATCACATCACTTGACTCTTTGCCTTTCTCGTCTCCTTGCCACCGCAAGTGCTGTGGGGCAGCTTGGTGTGGAGGCCAGATGCAAAGAATTTGAAGCCAGAGGACTTGATTTAAATTTTTGTCCTGCCATTTATTTTTAGCCAGGTGTCATTGAATAAATTATTTCATCTCCTTGGACTTCAATTTTCTTAACTTGATTTTGCAAGTTATTATTATTATTATTATTATTATTATTAAGACAGAGTCTCATTCTGCCACCCAGGCTGGAGTACAGTGGTGTAATCTTGGCTCACTGTAGCCTCAACCTCCTGGGCTCAAGTAATCCTCCCACCTCACCACCCCAAGCAGCTGGGCCCACAGGCGTGCACCACCATGCCTGGCTGATTATTTTATTTTTTGTAAAGATGGGGTCTCCCTATATTGCCCAGACTAGTCTCAAATTTTGGGGCTCAAGCAATCTTTCTGCCTTGGCCTCCCAAAAGGCTAGAATTACAGGCAAGAGCCACCACACCTGGACCACAAAATATTATTTAATGTATTTTTGAAAGTTCTGTGGTGGGTGCTTCTCTCCCACTCCTGCTTCCTTTGGTGTAGACTGAGTTCCATTAAGGAAACACTCCTCGGTGACCACCTATGGGAGGTAGAGGGGGCTGTCTGACATGTGAGACTGGGAATAGGAACTGGGCATACATACTTTCTCTCTTCCTCTTCCTCTTTTACTCTTTTGGGTACAGCTTTGAAAGAGCATGTGATCTCTTCTGCAGCTCCTTAGGGGCAGGCTGAACAACTGCATTGCTTGTTGGGAGGGGTGGGCTTGCTCTGGTGCAGCTTATAACTCAGTTGTGGGGTTCAGTGTTCTGAACTCCTTTGCAGCTGTAGTATAAGCTCTATTCTCCAATGTTGACCATGTTCATAATAAAGACGATACTTTGGTTTCTGTCTGCTGAGTCCTCTTATTTATATCTATATATTTAGAGACCCTCAGTCCCACAGGTAGCAATTTCCTCTCCCCAGAGGCCGTCACCAAGACGGTCCATTGTGTTTTCTTCCAGAGATATACTAAATATATAGATACACATATACTGTACTACACGTGAGTAGAGCATATTCATAATTCTGTTCAACAGTTTGCAGTATACTGTAGGTATCTGTTTTTATTAGAACATACAGAGCTGCCTCATTCTTTTTAATGGCTACATTGCACTGAATGAACCAGTCCCCTCTCCGTGTACAGTGAAGATTTTCTCAATCTTTTGCTGTTTCAGAGAATCGAGCATGATGGATAAACGTGCAAACTCTGGAGCCAGCCTACCCAGGGTTGAGTTCCAGAGCCACTACTTAGCAGCAATGTGAACTTGGGCAAGTTACTGAACCTCTCTGTGCCTCCATTTCTTTATCTACAATTTGTAATAATTGTAACCTCACAGTGTTCTGTGAGGATTCCATGAATACATGCCACTCACTTAGATTTGTACTAAAAGTGTAATAAGCCTCAGTGAGTTCTAGCCAATTTGATTACTGTTGCAATTCAAGTTATGTAGGCAATTTTCCATGTATTTGAGTAGGATAAATCCTTAGAAATAGGATTATTTATAAATTCTTAGAAAATAATTTAGAATGTTGTTGGCTTTTGCCAAATGATCTTCTGTGGTAGCTGTACCAATGTGCTCTCCCACCAGTAGTGTATGTGTGTCTTGGTTCCCCCTAGTCTTGCCCAGTCTATTAGCAAACTTTTTGAATTTTGCCAGTCTTACTGACGGAAAAAAAATTATCTAATTGTAGTTGTAATCATTATTTACCCTATTATGAGGGAAGTCAAGTATCTTTTCATATATTTGAGCCATTTATATATTCTCTCCTACAAATTGCCCACCCCTATCCCTTGTCCTTTCTATTGAGTTGTTCATTTTTTTCCCCTGTTGATTTACAAATGATCTTTCCATGTCTATAAGATGCTTTGAAAGTGTTTTCTAAGCTTGTCATTTGCCTTTTCACATTTTAATGGTACTTTGGACTTTTTAATTGTACTTTAGAAGTCAAGTTAATCTTTTCTGGTTTCTGAGCTTTGTGACATACATTCAAAGGGCATGCTCTACAAAAATATTTTTAAAAATTCTCCCATATTTTCTTCTAGTGCTTTTATGATTTTTTTACAGTTAAATTTTTTGACATGTCTGGGATTTATTTTCATATGAGAAGTGAACTATGGATCCTACTTTATTTTCATTTACTTGGTTGTCTAGTTATCTTAATACCACTTATAGAATAAACCAATTTCTCCCAAATGATTTCATATGCCATCTTCATCATACTCTAAATTTCCTTATGTATTTTGATGTATTTCTGGTCTTTAAATTCTATTCAATTGATTTATTTATTCATGTACCATTAACATATTGCTTTAATTAGTGATGCTTAATAAAACAGGTACTTTTAGTTAGCTGCAAGGGCTAGCCTTCCCATATAACTTTTATTATTTATTTTTATACATTTTTCTGGATTTGCTGTCTTGTTTATGGTTTACGTAGGAAATTCAGAGTAAGCCTGCCCATTGAAAAATAATCTTATTGATGTTTTGTTGTTGTTCACCTTTGGGATTCACCTGATGATATTTTTAATGGGATTTTTATATGTGATTATTCATTGGGTTTTTGGGGGAATTAATGTTCAGATTAATCTTTATCTTTGGTTCTCATATAATATTGTTATGCATATCTCTTATGCTATAGGATGGAGGTAGAAATCTCCATTTGCATAGTGCTTTATACAGTAGGGACCTTGTGTTTGTGTAGAGCTCTGGCATGTGTAGAATGCTTATGTATAAGATATTTCATTTAATCCTCATACTAAACATTAGTGGTAAGTGTTATCTCTGTTTTCAAGATGAAAGACTTGAGCCTTGAAAAGTTTAACAAGTTTGCCTAAATGAATGCCACTAGTTGGTGGCATAGTTTGGTACCTGCACCCCAGTCAAATCTGAGCTTGTTTCCAAGTGCCATCACTTTTGGTGGTGTTTTTGGCTGTGAATGAGCTCTGCACTTTTAGTCTTGACCTCTGGAGAAGGTGGCAGGAACAGACAAATAAATAATAAAGACAGAGGCAGCACTGTGGGGGTTTTGACTTTATTTGAAATTCTTGGTAGACTGTTCATTTGGTTGACTCCTCCCAAGTTGATTCATGATGCTGGGTGAATATTCTGTGCACTGACCTCCGTACCACACACTTTGGAAGGGTCCAAGGAAGGCAGTCTATGCCCCCAAGGGGCTCACAGGCTGTCAGTTCAAGTGGGAGGGCCTTCAATCTTTGCTCTGGCCAGGAAAAGACTGACCATTGGTCTCCAAAGCTGCTGGATAGCATTGCCAGATCACACCTAAACAACTCTGACTGCAGTTTCACACAGGTGGTGATCCAAAATTTGTAAAAAAGGGAAAGTGATATGTGAAGATGGGGCCGAGATGAGAGGAAATGGATTCAAGCCTCGTTGGAAAAGCCAGGTTAGTTTGTCACTTTAATTTGAGCATAGACAATGGGGTCAAAGTCTGCAGAACGGTTCTCGGCCAAGTGATTGCTCTTATCTTCTGAGAGTTTGAAAGTCATGCTGGCATGGGTAAGTGATTCTCCTGGGATGGATGAAAGCTGCAGAGGGAGAAAAAGGAGGAAGGAGTGAGTTCAGTTTAGAGCAAAAAGGTTGCTCTTTAGAAGCAACCTGAGCACTTTGGTCAAAGAATCACTTGCCCAGTGTCTGGAAATCAATCTCACCATTCTAGTAGATAATTCAGAGTATAGAGGGGAATTCCAATGATGGTAGCCCTTCAGTGTCGCCAAAACAGTGTGGTCATCTTACCTTGGCCGGAGGATCTGAGTGAGGATCCGGGACCCGGGGCTTGGAGTGACCTGCCATGGTGCCAGAAAGAAGAGGGACCCATCTCAGCAATGGGCCTGGGGAAATGGGAAACCTCTCCCTCCGATCTTGGGTGAAGGGTGGGGTGGGGAGGGGATGTTGGCAGGTGGGTGGGGGCAGGGCAGAAGAAAAATGAAGGGATTTGAGTCTTCAGTCTGCAGACAGGGTGGGCTAAGCAGGTTTTATCACACTGCACCCTCCCCTACCTCCTCCCGTTACTCACTCATAGCTAATTCTAGTATCAATGGCAGACAGAGAAGGGCTGTCCTATCCCTTGGAGACCACTTACATTTTCTGTAGCTCTTTATGATGAGGAAGATAAAGGCTATCAGCAGCAGTGTCAGTAGAACCCCAGCAAAAAAGGCAAGGATTAAATGGTTTTTGCTGTTTTGGCAGAGAAAGGCAGAGGATGAACTGTTGGGATTTTGAAGGTCTTTCCTAAAGAGTGAAACCTTTCCTGCCTATGGATGGACTCCTGAAATTGTTTTCACACTGACTAATGAATTTTCACCCAGTGGTTTTCAGCTTTTGCTTTTGAGTTTCACATCCATTTGAGGCCTCAGAGAAAGCTGTGGCCTCTTCTTCTCCCCCTCCCTCAACCCACACAATGTTCATAATTCCCCACCCAGCAAATTTTACCTATAAGCTTAGGGGATCCATCGATCTCTTGAAGCTTAGGGGATGCCAAATTAAGAGCCATACTCCTGAGATCACAAACTGATTTTTTCTTTTACTGTTTCTAGTCCTTTCTCCCCAGTCTCCCTGCCCAAGTCCCTAAGCCAAGGATGTCAACATAACATCAAATCCTATGTGGTACAAGATGAAACAGATGGGAGAATGCTCATTTACTTGTGGTGGTTAGAGAGACACGGTGCAGGGCTAGTTGTTGGGGCTGCTGTGGAGAAAGGGCCATGTTTTTCTACAAGAAAACATAAAAGGAATTAGTATATTAGTGTATCTGTCACTTTTCATGATATTCTTCCAGCTTAAATGTCCCCACGTGCCCCATTCTACCCAATCAGCCAGTGGAAATTAAGGATGGGCCTGCAACTCTTGCAAAAATGTGAGAATGTTGTTTTTTAGATTCCAAGTACTTTTAAATGAAAATTAGAACTGGAACTTAAAAATCAGCTACATAAATGAAATACAAGCCTAGTGTCCCTTTGATTAAAAAAAAAAAAAAAAAATCTCATGTGTTGCCCTCCTCAAAGAGTTTAATAGGAACCCCTGAAGAGATGTGCTCCTTCTGACCTAAGGAAAGCATCTCCCAGCTAGGGAGAAACAACAAATGCTTGCCAAAGTCCTTGGGGAATTTGACCTTGAAACCGTTGCCCTTTTTTGTTTGCTCTTTTTGCAGAGCAGCTATTAACAGTGCATAGCCAAAAACAGCCACAGTGGTTTTCTCAATGCCTACACCACAAATAGGGGAGAATGACCCACCTAGTTTGATATTAAGCAGAGACACTCTACTCAGATTTGAAGGGCCAGGCAGGTCTCTGTGATTTCCCCTTTTACCCCTCCTGGCATTAGATTCTGTATCCTGGTAAAATTGGATTCTTCTAACTTCAGAAATGCACTAGCTAGTGCCTTTCCATTACAGCCCTTCAGCACAATTTCTAGTTATTTTAACTCAGAAGTGAGGCAGGTAATTATTCCTGTCATAAACTCACCAGTGTAGGGTTTAGATGTGGAGCTAATTCCTCCCATGCTGTCATCCCCTGAAAATAAAACAAGGTATCTCTTAGAAAGCTTGGAGAGGAGAGCGAGCTGAAGGGCCAGCTCTGAGACTGTGATTGTCATATAAGAGTAGTAACAATGAGAGGCAATCTGTGGGTGTTCTACTGCCATCAGTGGTCACAGACCACTCATCAGAGGTCAACAACTCTGGTGTTGTTTCTGCAGCTCAGCAGCCAGCCTTCAGGTTTGCAGGTTCAGAAATTTGATCTTATCAGGGCACCAAGAATTGACTGATTTCTCCAGAACTGATTCCCACCAACCAACTCACAGGAGACTGATGTATAAACTGAAATAACATAAGGTACATGTTGGTGCAATCAGCGAATTTTGCCTATCAGGGGAATATATAAGAATGCCAACGAAAATCATAATTTCGCTTGATAAGCACTGAACTGAAGTAAGTATGAGAGAAGATGAATGGATGATTTTTATACTGACTGCCAACTGGGTCTGATGTATCAGTCTTACTCCTCCCTGGCATTGCTACATAAACTTTGACAAACTTGCTCTTGGAGACCCTTACTCTAGACCTCATTAGACACTTCTAATCTGCTCACATATTATCTTCTCAAGTCTGCCAATAGTCTTGTTTAGGCTTTATATCAAAATGTATAAAGCATCTAAAGGCAGAAAAGTGAAATCACCCAAACTCCTACTACTCATTAATATTTTTAGTGTCTTTCCTTTTAGTCAGACTTCCATGCATTTTTTAAAAAGCTAGTTGAGATATTTCTTTTTATAAGAGGTTATATCTTCCTTTTATATTTAGCATTTTGCCATACACATTCTTCTATGTTACTAAAAACTTTTTATAACATTTTTAGTGGTGATGGGTCTTTCTGCTCTAGCTATGTACTATAACTTGCTTAACAAATTCTCCACTTGATAGAATTGTTTCCATTTTTATTTGAATCAATTACAATGAAACAGATATTTTTATGCATAAAACATTGTATGCCTCCCTGATTTTTTTTTTTTTAGGGGGCCAAAATGTTACTTCATATTTAGGCAAACTCATGGGAAAATGTTTTGGCTTTGTTATTTCTTCTATATTTAAGGTCATTTCTTTAAACAAATGTCATCAATTATTTATTGTTGTATTGTTCAGTTCTCATAAGTTAACTTCCAAGTCCTTGGACCTGTGGGAGGGTTGGGAGGACACCTCATCTCCCTGTACCTGTTACAATAGCAGCAACAGCAACATTACCAAGTACCTTACAATTCACCAAACATTTTTAGATCATGCAATGTCAGATAAGAAAGGGGCCAACGGGAAAATATGGTGAGGAGTCTGAGCCATGAGAATAGGAAGCTCACAGTCTTCAGCAGAATCGGCAGTGGTAATTATTCTGACACATTTTGCTCCTTTTCTAACTTGTACATCAATGGTGCTCTTCGCAGACCATCATAATATATTGACATAATATTCTTTAAATATTGACATAATATTTTTAAAATATTGAAATATACGTTGGTGCTAAACAGAATATGAGCTTACACTAGGCTTCGCCACTGGAGAGGTGGAAGAAGATAGGATCATAGGTTTCTGTAAAATCCTGAAATTCACTGCAGCAGTTCTGAATTTACAAAAATGTTACCATAGCCATTGTGAAAACGTTAGGCCACTCCACCCGAACTTTCACATAAATGGACAAAATCATCACACACAGGGAAATAGTTACTCACAAATCCAGGCCAAGAAAAGCAGGAAATACATTTCCCTTTAAGCACAACCTAAACATTTGGCAGAAGCATAAATTAAAAGAGAAGCGGTGCTATATATACTTGTTCACGTTTCATCCAGCATTGGAGAATCTTACTGACTGCTGTAAAATCCATCAACTAAATAGAACCATTCAAATACAACCCTTCCCGCACCAAATAAAACAAGTGACAGAAGCCACTAACAATTAGACGACACTTTCTTTTGGTAAGTGATTATTTAATCTAGATTAAGAGCATGTGGTAAATGCATTTACCTTTCAAGAAAAAGTCCGGTCATACGACGCAATCGTCTAAGATTGAGCATTTCACTTGCTTCCGTTACCTCTCCTATGTTTCAGAAATGACGAAATAAAGATTACTGCCCCTGCCACTTCCAGCATCACATTGTATGTCGCAAAGATCCTGTCTAAACTCAAGGGTAGGCTTCCTCTTTGAGGTCAACATTATGATTTTTTCATCTTTCTTTTGTAACTTTGTGTCTGACACATGAATGCCAGAATGTAAGGAGGTAAGACAGGTTTCTTGCTAATTAAATATTTACTAAGTATTTACTTTAACCACTGTGTCAGATTTACTGTGGAGATCGCATCACTATGACATTATTATTGCCATCAAAAACCTTATAATCTCATCTATTCTAACCAGGGAGATGAGGCTGATAACGAAAAACGAAGAGCAAACAGTGTTAAGAGTTAAGTACTAGCTGTGCAGACTTCAAATGTGTTAAGAGTATGAGATCCCTTCGAAGGGAAGGCGAATCATTTCTTTATAAATTTTTCTGTAAAATAATATTAATAAATATACTAATTAAGTAAATGCTGTAGGCCATACAGTGAGCTGGTGTTATAGGTTTTTTTTTTTTTTCTTTTTTTCTTTTTGAGATGGAATTTCATGCGTGTTGCCCAGGCTGGAGTGCAGTGGTGCAACCTCAGCTCACTGCAACCTCCACCTCCTGGGCTCAAGCAATTCTCCTGCCTCAGCCTCCCAAGATTACAGGCATGCGCCACCATGCCCGGCTAATTTTGCATTTTTAGTAGAGATGGGTTTCACCATGTTGGTCAGGCTGGTCTTGAACTCCTGACCTCAGGTGATCTGCCTGCCTCAGTCTCCCAAAGTGCTGGGATAACAGATGTGAGCCACCGTGCCTGAGCAGGTTATATGGGTTTAATAACTGACCAGGTTATTATAGGTTTTTTGGAGAGCAAGGCAGAAAAGTTCCTTGCCTCATGGACTCTACCACCTAATTGAGAAGAGAAATGAAAAACAAGGAAATGATAAGTCAATGACACATTGTATTAGGGCCATGAGGGAAAGAAACAGAGTGCTAGCTAGAGAGAATACACTGGGAGAACATCTTTAGAGAAGATGGAGGACTGGGGAAGGCTTCTCTAAGGAGTGGACATTTCCACTTAGAGAACTTGAGGATGAGCAGGAGCTAGCCAGGCACAGAGTCTGAGGAAGAGGTTTTCAGGTGGAGAGAAGAGTAACTCACAGCTGGCAGAGCTGGAAAAATCAGGCAAGGATGTGTGCAGGTAAACCTGGAGCACAGATAGGCTTTGGATGGATGGAGGAAGAAAGGGCTGTGGGAGAGGTGTCCTAGGCCCAGGGTTGGTTGCTGAAATTCAAGTGATGTATTTCTAGGATATTAGCACAGTTCAAGAGTGGAACATTTTGACTGGGTGTGGTGGTTGACGCCTGTAATCCAGCACTTTGGGAGGCTGAGGCAGGGGGATCCTTTGCGCCCAGGAGTTTGAGGCTGCAGTGAGTCACGATCATGCCGTTGCACTTCAGCCTGGGTGACAGGGTGCTTAAATAAATAAATAAATAAATAGGGAGGGGCATTTGGAGAGGGTGGGAGATGAAAAATAGTTGACATAGATGGATTTTAGCCAGATGGTGGGGAGCTTTAAATCCAAGCAAGATATATTTAAAATATTTTTAAAATAAACACTAAATCTTTTTGATTGAGATATAACATGGTAAACATAACCTTTATGACAGATTGTACCATATCATATAAGATAAATTTTGGGTAGAGACAAAGAAACTAGAGGGTATGGGGATATTCTGGGTATTGTGTAGTGAGGGTGTAGGCTGAACCACAGGGATCATAAAATTGGAGGACATATAACTTGGGACCTGGATATGGGGAATAAAACAGTAGGATGAGTCAATGATTACTTCAAGTTTTCGAACCCCAGTTGCTGAGATAATTCATTTCTTCATTCACTTACTCCAAAACATTTATTGAACATTTACTATGTGCTATGTCCCATTCTAAGCTTTGAGGATATTATGACGAGCATGAGGGCCTGCCTTCATGGAACTTTCACACTAGTAAAGGAGGCCCTTACCACACAAAGAAATGGCAAATTGTGATTGTTAAGTGTGCTGTGAAGGATCAGGACCCTGTGCCATGGATGCCTACAACAGAGGGGAAGAGGACCAGGGAAGCCTTCCTAGAGCCAAAAAATAAAACGACCCAACATTTAAACTGAAATCAGAAATGTGAGTTGGAGTTCCACTAGACCAAGAGGAAGGGAAAGTTTGGAGGGAATAGAACATTTAAAAACCCTGTGCCAGAAGGAGGGTAGGAAGTTGAAGGGGGAAAAAAAAAAAAAAGACTAGTTTGACAAAAACTGAAAGAGGAAGTATGTGAAGTGGCACTGGGGTGTGGGCAGGGGGTGGAGCATGATGAGGATGAGGTTAAATAGGCAGGAAGGGGCCAGTCCCTCACAACTTTTGTCTTTAAGAGAAGTGGGTTTATCTGTACTAAACATATTTAAACAAGGGTGACACGATCAGGCTTGCATTATGGAACAATCACTAAAACTGGAGCAAACAGATTGGAAGTTAGCCAGAATAGATACAAATAGACCGGTTGAGAGATTACTGCAGTGATCCAGTTGAGGAGGGTAATAGTAACGTGGACTAGGATGGTAGCAGTAGAGAGATGAAGAGATATATATGGATTTGAGAGATATTTAGGAAAGTGGCAGCAAAAACAATGGTGGATAAAAGATCAGATAATGATCAAAGATACCACCAAAGGGCAAGAAGGAGGAAGAGGAGCCAGAGAAGGAAACAGCTGTAGTTCAAGACTTAGAGGGAGGATTAACTAATTAATCAGACATTTACTTAGCACCTACCCAAACACCCTGCCGAGCTCTGGAGGTTCAATAATGAGTAAGACATAGTTCTTGACTTGCGGGATCTGTCTCTTGTAGAGAGAGAGATATGTTCATTCATCTACAAAAGCATGCTCCAGACTGGCCAGTCACAAAAATAAGCATAATGAAATATTGTAGATGTGAGACATCTGTACAGGATAGAGTGAGATGCAATGAACAAAGGGGTCAGGCTACACGATAAGGAGGGAGGATAGGTGTCAAGAAAAGCCTCATAGAGGAGATAATGTTTGAGTTGCACCTTGAAAGATGAATAATTTTCTAGGCAGACTGAGGAAGGAAGTGTATTCCAGGTAGAGGGACAGGGTAAACAAGAGCATGCTTTGGCACAATGCTTGAGTTTGGGGAAATGCAAGTATCTCAGCATAGGTGGTGCTATGGGGAATGAGGATAGGATAAGGGTGGGGGATGGAAGGGGAAAGGCTGGAGAGGATAGATAAAACCAGGTAATGGCAGGCCCTAAACATACTTTACCCTTATAGGCAATGGAACGACTGCTGAAGAGGAGTAACACAAGCACATTTGGGTTAAGGCAACAGAGTGTAGAGGGGACCAGTGAGGTGCCAAACAGTGGGTGAAGAATCCTTTGGTGTTGTAGAGTTCCAAGTGAGAAATTAGGATGATCTGAATAGAGGCAATGGCCATGGGGAAGAGGTAGAGTAGATAGGTGATGAGTCTAGTCATTTATTAGGTGTGAGAGGAAAGTAAGAGAGAGAGGGGAGGTGGTAATAACTACGTTTCCTGCGTTGTATCCATCAACTAACTTTGAGAATATAAAAGAAGGGGTTATAGGATTGAGAAAAAATAATGAGTTTAATTTTGGACACATTGGATTTGGGGTGCCAGTGGAACATTCAGGTAAAGATGTTGAGAGAGCAGTTGGATGCACAGATCTGGGGCTCACAAGAGATCTAGAATTGTGTGGTAGACAGTACTAGTTCTCACCAACAACCAGTTCTCCTCTCTTTCTTGTGTGGAACCTCCCTTGTCGTGCGACAAGTTCTGGCCAATGGGCAGTGAATGAAGTGATGCACGTCCCATTTAGTCAAAACATTTAATTGCTGATGCAAGACCTCCTCTGACCCTCTCCCACAACAATGGAGATTTTATGATGGGAAGGTGAAGGTGAGAGTTCTAACCCTGGATCCTTGAGTCAGCATATGGAGGACAGTTTCTTTGGAGAGTCACTTGGACCTTCAATAGATTCTATATGAGCAAAAAGTAAACTTTTCCATATTAATCTACTGAGATTTTGGGTCGACCTTTTCTTTCTTTCTTTCTTTCTTTCTTTCTTTCTTTTTTTTTTTTTAAGGCAGGTCTTACTATGTTGCCCAAGCTGGTCTTGAACTCCCAAGCTCAAGCTATTCTCTCACTTCAGCCTCCCTAATAGCTGGGATCATTGCATCTGACACGTGCAATGTCACACACCTATGATCCCAGCTATTATCTCATCTCACTTAACCTAATCTATTTTTCCAAATATAATTTGAGATATAGACTAGGAAGTCACCAGCATGTATATGATAGTAGAAGCCATGGGAATGGATAAGGTAATCCACATACAATATGTATTATAGAATGAGAATAAAATTCCTAGGATAGAACTCTGAGGAGCACCAAGATTTAAAAGGGAGGCAGAAAAAGTAGAGTCAGTTAAGGAAATTGAGAAGAAACAGTGACAGCAGAAATGGCATAAACGTATGTGATTAGGAGCCAGAGGAGGAAAGAAAGGAAGGAAAAGCTGTGGCCAACTGTGCCAAATGCAGCTGAAAGAGAGGCCAAGTAACATGAGGACTGGAAAGAGTTGACTGGATTTGGCAATTAAGAGATCATAATCTCTTTTGCTTAAGTAGCTTGGGGTGTGGTAGTAGTAGGAAATTTACCTTCAATGGGGCTGATCAGGAAAGGAAATTCCCAGGCATATAGCAGATTAGGTATGTAAAGAAATCCTCTTGTTAAAAAACATAACACTTGTTGGATAAAATATTTTAAACACCATAATTTAAAAGCGCATGGCTAAAGTAGATGTGGGAAATCCTCAAAGAAATAAGAAAGTTGATTGAGACCTGAAATGGGTGTTTGCTCTGGGTTTGGCTACCAGTTTTTGGTGATCTGAAGGTTGGGTTTAAAGGCCATCTATGCAAGGTTAGGAAACCAAGTCTAGAACCTGCACAAAGGTGGCGATTTGGATTATACTCTC